CCCCTTCCCATTTTAGATAACACACTTGCCATTTTGGGATGTTCCAGATGTTTGACACTTTATAATCACTGCAGTTTTATGCAATTTCTACATCTAATTTGTTTAACAACTTAGAATTAAATTTTGCTGTGATATAATCCACATTTTATTAAAATTTTTCACACTTATTTATTTGACTAGTAACAAACATAGCAAGCAAGTCAGAATTCAGAATAACTCCTTAATCCCTACACATGGTTGAATTCAACAAATATAAACACAGTGGAGATGCCAGCTTAAATCCAAAACATCATTACTAACATAATCAGGAAGGCATAAACATAAATCATATAAGGTTCAGTAGCTCTAATCAGAAAAGAAAGAATTAATCCAAAACACAACCATAGTTTGCTCACCTGAACAAGTTTTTTACATATGCGGAAACTCAAGCCCTCCTTTAACTCTTTGCTGTTATACCTCCTTCCACCAAAGTGAATACTTGAGATTGAGCTCTCTCTTTGAGAACTTTCAAGACTAACTTTAGTTTCAAATTTTACGGTAATGTATTCATCAACTATGCTATGTCTTCTTGCTCCCCAAAGCTTATCACTCCCACCCTCAGTTCCAACCCTGAATACAACGGAGCCACTTCCAAAGTTGATATTTAACAGATGCCCCACCATATGAAGTAACACCTGAAACGTTCTCTTTTCATCACCCATCACCAGATTAGGCAAAGAATTGGGAAAATCCGTAGAAAAGCCAAAGCCCTTATAAATACACAGGCATTTAACAAGACAAGAAGCCTCTTTGATCAGTGAATGCAGCTGAAACGGCATCATTTCTACTGAGATTCTTCCTTCATCTTTGTCGGATATATCCATTGCATCATTTATTAAAGTGGACAGAACGGTGCTTGTTCTCACCATTGTGTCAATAATAATCCTCTGGTTACAGCTTGTAAAGTTCTCGTCTTGAAGTATGGAAAGCAAACCCAAAACTGAGTGCATTGGCCGTCTCATCCCATTGTTCATTACCTTCTGAAATGAATTCCTCGCCTGCGTTGCCTTCACAGCATTCTCCTTAGCCTGCTGCAGCAAACCATTCCTAATTTCTAGTTTCTCCCTCATTAATTGAGACTCTTCAAGAACCGTGGCGTGAGATAGAGCCACAGCCACCTGATCAGCGACTACTTCCACTATCTCCATCTCATTACGGCTCCAATCAAAATCCCCACTTGGAAGAACCAAAACTAAAATGGCGTAACGAGTGTCAACCAACACCGGCGTTCCCCCTTTGAAATCCGAAGCACGAAGC